AATTTTTTTTTATTCAAAATTTAAAATAATTTTAATTTAGAGGGGGAAAATTTGCGTATTCTCTTAATATTTGGTATATTTTCTTATGCACGTGATATGCTTTGGATATATAATTAGAGTTCTACGTATACGTGTAACGTGAACGTTAATTACCTAACGTGTTTAACATGCATTACCTTCATGTATGGAAATGCGTGTCAGGTAATAGGAAATTTTCAGTAACGATTCAACTTTGAAAACTCAATAACTTTTTCCCTCTTCATTGATTATAATTTAAACTTATAATTGACAAAAATAAATTATTTCAATTTGGAATTGAAAATTTCAAGAAAAAAAAAAAATTTTTTTGGACCACCCTAATGTGAATAAATTTTCTTTCTTAATACAATTTTTTTTAATGTATATAATCAATTATGGAATGGAGATTTAAAACTCCAATTAAAATTAGCATATATGACAATCTTGAGAAAAGGGAAAAATAAATTTAATATTTTGTTTGGGCAACTATATAGAATTAAAATCATGCACAGAAAACATATGTGAGAAGGAAAACGAGGTTCAATTATCATAATATATTATTATTATTATTGGAAGAAGGCTTAAAGAGAGAGAAAAAAGGGAACGCGTTTGTAATATTAATTGAAATCAAACACTGTGTTCGCCTTCACTTATATGTATATATAGAGTCCTTTTTTTGTGATGTTAAGCTGACACGCTAAATGGTACTACCCTACCTCAAAATCTCTCTGAGTATATAGTAGTACATGAATACCACTGCTTGAGGCCTCGCATCTGTCGACCCCATGGGCACTTTCTCTTGTTTGCATAATGTCCAATTATTTAAAGAGTACATGTACAAATGATGATAAACATTTTTTTTTTTTTTTTTTTTTTTTAACGGCAGGAAAATTTAATTTCAAATAATTATTATTGTTTCGTATTTAAAATACAATATTTACTTAATATTGTAAAAATAAATTAAAAATAAGTTACATTTTTTATAGGTAATAAAATTTTTATTTTTTTTTTTTAAACAGATTCGTGATCAGCGACAAAAATGACACTGATGAATTTAACAAAGTCCGCCATTTTGGATTTTGAAATCAGCGATCTCAAAAACCAGTGAGTTTTTCAAACCAAAATTATTTTTTTTTTTTAAATATCTCGCTATTTTATTTATTTATTTATTCTAATTTCTAATATTTTTTGAGATGAAAATTTTACAATTCCACTAATTGAATTTAAAATAGGTACAATTTTAAGCTTAATTTTAGACGAAAAAAAAGGAAATTTCTAATTGAGCTTAATTTTTTTTTTTTTTTTATAAATAATAGCATCGCTTTGAAAGCATTTTGTGTGATATCAATGGAAACAGAGTGGACCATTTGAATGTATGTATATATGGATATAGGTACAGAAAAGACTAGGGAAGAAGTGAACTATTTTTTTAGATTATTTTAGAGCAGGGCAGTCCGGAAAACGAGAGAATGGTCCGTTAAGGAACATGGGAAAGCACTTCTAGATTCCAGATATGTCTTTCGACCTCACCCCCCCCCCACCCACCCCCCTCTCAACCTCTCTTTGAATCAGAGAGACACTTTGGTCCACAGTAGATCACTCTCAAGATAATACATTAATTTTCTATTGTCTTCAATCACTCGCAGGAAGATAGATCGGTTTTTTTTTACTTTAAAATTTCAAGAGAAAAATTTTTTGCAACTATTTTATTTATTTTTAAAATATATTATTATTATTTTGCTTTTTTGTAAAAAAAATGATTTTGCCCCCAAATTTTTCGTACAATATAAAAATTGTTACAAAAAAATTTTGATGTCGAAAAAATTTACATCAATTGATTGAAAAATTAAAAAAAAATTTTTTTTTAAAATTAATAATTAATAATTTAAAGAAGTAAATTAAAAACAAATTCTTGTCGAGTCATATATAATATAAAAATGACTTTTCCATTTAGAAAAATAATTTTTTTTTTTCGGTCGACTTTAAGTCAGAAGCAATGCATCATAATCAGGCGGTCAACTTACTTAGCCCGGGTGGAGGCGGCACGCTAAAGTTAATTAGCTAATTAGTAATTTTAATCGGATGACGCATGCGCATCTCAAGGGAAACAAGCAAACCCTCTTAGCGGACGGTTGCTATATATATATATTCTCTGTCGTCCACGAAAAAGGAGAGGACTAGTAGGCAGTCGTATCCTGAGAAAAAGTCTAGTTAATTGCGTCTAATTAATTTAGGGAAAAACTTCTCGGATATTTTTCATTCCACATGGTTAATTCGTTTTTCGTTATAATGTGTGTATTTCACAATTTTCTCATTATTATTTGATTTTCTTTTTTTTCTAATTTTTGTAAATAGAATTCAATATTTATTGAATAGAGAATAGTGTAATATGAAGAAGTCTAATCAAATAATAATAAATTGAGATGTGCATCAGTGATTTCAAAAAAAGAATTACACCCTCCTCATATTTCTTTTATGAATTCACGCTTGGGGTTCTTCTTATTTTTCTATAATACCATAAGTGCGATAGGATAATATAGTAAAAAAAAAGAGATAACGATATTGAGTGCTCACTCGGCTTTATATTCTTGATAAAAAAAAAAAAATATATAATTCGTTTAGTCTATTGAGGGTATTATAACGTTATGCCCAATTTGAACGACGTGCCACATATATAGTCATTATATTGTACTCTCTCGGAGCATTTGGCAAACTCAATTCGAGTCAATTTCGAGCAATTCGATTCGATGCTAATGGAACGACGATCACCAACTCGATTACTGTGGGATCCCGCGATTTCCGCCTCGTGGTTTGACTCTCATTCGCGTATTCGAATATTAATTCTTAACGAGAATTTTATTACCTACACACTGCATTAATTTCCATTCAATTGTTAAATTTTTAGTTTCAATTTTGTTAATATATTTATTTTTCATTTCACTTTTATATTATTTATTTTTTATTTCATTTTCATTTCATTTTCATTAATATATATTGGAAGTTTATGTTATCTTTTTTTTTTTTTTATTTATTAATTCCAGAAAAAACGAATATTCCCTTATTTCTAATGTAAACGTATAAAATAAATAAAAATTCAATGAATTTGTGTAATAAAGACTTTATAAATTTCGATTATTAATAAATTCTTTATTAAAATAGTTTTGGAAAGTTTTTAATTAATTAAAATTGGATTTCCATAAATGTTGTAAAATGAAAGAAACTTTACGAATTATATTATTTTTGTTTTAAAGTAGAAATTTAAACTCCACTAAATTTGGAAATATATTTTAATAAATATATTTTATAAAATATATAATAAATATATGTATATATATATATATATATATATACACTGAAAAAAAAATTTATTTGATTCAAATAGTCAATTACTTGTGTATTATCAAATAAATATTTATTTGAAACAAATAATTTTTATTTGAATTAAATAAATTGTATTTGAATCAATAATTTTTGTATTTGAAACAAATACCATTTAATTGACTCAAATAATAATTATTTGATACAAATAAATATTTATTTGATAATAGTCAAGTAATCGAGTATTTGAATCAAATAATTTTTTTTTTTTTCAGTGTATACATTTATAAACGAAATAAAATGAGATAAATATCTTAGATATACAATTTAGTAAAAATAAAAAGCATTAAATAAAAAGCATTAAATAAAAAATTTAATATTTAAATGAAATGAAATAAAAATAAGGAAATGAAAAATAAATGATTTATGAAATGCGATGTTTTATATTATATGCAGTAAATATTTTAAAAAAAGCGATGACATTATCAACGGAAGTTGATTTGAGAGTTTGATCGAAATATTATCTTATTTCTCATAATTTTGAAGTCTGGTGCATATTAAAACAGTATCGTCTGCTTCCGGTTTCAGTTGCAATGCTATTCGGACCAAAACGGTGTGACATTATGATATATATATATATATATAGGTAGCTGACTTCGCACAATTACAGACCCCTAATTACATCCCCTTTTTCTTTTATCCTTTTCTATTATAAACCCCACCCCCCTCCCCCTTTCACCACAGCTTAATTAATTCCTACCTCATTAACAACACGGCCAGTCTGATGCACACTCAAGTCTTCTATATATGAATCAACCCCCCTTTTTGTTCTCATTTTCATTTAATTTTATTTTTTGCGAAAATTAACTGCGAATATTTTTCCCGCATGAATGTTGTTAATTATTGTTCATTAAAAAAAAAAAAAAATTCAATAAAAATTTTAATATATACAATATTGAATAAAATTTTTATTCAGTTAAATTTTTTTTTCTTTATTATTATTATTAAAAAGAAAAGTATATAATTATATAAAGCGAATTATAAAATAAGAAAAATGTAACGCGAGATATGGAGTATTTACTTTGAGTGAGGTTAAATTTGTTCTAGAAAAATTTTAATTAACTCGTTTTAAACACAAACCCCCCCCCCCCCTCCCCCTATTCTTTTTTTTATCTGGCTTCCGGGCCTTTAGCGACAGACAGTCGAGATAAATTAAAAAAAAAAAAGAAAAAAAGCGTGGTGAAAAGTGTGTGTATACCGCGTTTATTAATTATCGAAGCGACTTGTGTATATATATATATCGTTGGAACATTTCAAAACGGAAAGAAATAAAAGGGTGAAACGAACCTTGCATTTGAAAAGATGATAACGAATAATATATATATATATATATATATATATATATATATATACGACGAATCATGTCGATTTATAATCAACTTTTGTATCTGACAAAGAAATATCTTTAAATGGAAAAAGAAATTTAATTATTTTCAATTTAATAAAAATTATCAATTTTTTTTACGTGCGTTTCTAGATTATTCCGTTCTGATAGATTGCAAAATATTAAAATAAATTTTTTTTTTAATATTATTTTTTCATTATTAAAATCCGAGATTTAATTTCGTAATTTTTTTTTTTTTACAATAAAATAAAACTTCAAAAAGTTTCAAAATTATTTATTTTTAGAGAAATAGTTTGATTACATTTGGAAAATTTAACCACTTTTTAATTTTAATTTTGAAGGAAATTTTCATGCATTTCTAACATGATATTTTGATGAGCCATCATTAGTTAGAATGAATATTTTATTATTGATTTTACACCATTTTAATATGGTTTTAACTGTGATTATAATAAGGAAAATTATAATTATCATCGATAAGAATAAAAATCCATAGATATCAAAAAGTTCAATTTCCCACCAATACATTTTTACAGCAGGTGATCTTAATGATTCGGCTCCATTTCTTATAATATATTCAATCCAATAGACAGCTTCATTTCTTGCGCTCATTGGTCGATCTCGAAATAATTTTGAATGATATTCCGCAGATTCTCTGTAGTTGGACAAAAAAATTTTTTTTTAATTCATTTTTATTTCATAAAGTTTCTAGACAGAGTGGGTTTTTCTAAAATTTTATAGATGTGAAATTTTTTTAGATTACCTTACTCGTGTATCGTTTAACATTTTTGAAAGTGCCAAATCCATATTATTTTCTGTTATTTCATTGTGATCCAATACAGTGCACATATTTTTAGTTACCAATAGATGAACATTTGGATTTTGATCGTAAAATAATGGTATTCCAATGACAGGAACTCCAAAATAAAGAGCTTCCATAATACTATGTATTCCGCCGTGTGTAATAAATAATCGCGTATTTCGATGATCTAATAAAGAACAAAATTTTTCATAATTTAAAAATTGTCTTTGAAAAAACTCTCAGATTTTTTTAGACATTAGAAATATATACTTAGAACAGGTATTTGTGGTATCCATTTCATTGTCAGTATATTATTAGGAATTTTTGGTGGCAATTTATTTCTATTAATTACTTTAATTAAAATTCTCATTGGTGCAAGTTTGGCAAATGAGGAAAAAATTGATAAAATTGTTTCTCTTGGAAGACTTTCAACAGTAACTGTAGTTCCAAATGACATGTAAACAATTCCATGAACACTTTCATCCATCCATTGTTTCAGTTCCTTAATATGAAACAATTTTTCTTTATTAAGAATTTTAAGTGATAAAATTTTTAATAAAAAATATTATTAATGAAAATTAAAAATTAAATTCAATCAGTTGTAGGTATTTTATTAATTGAAATTCTTACTGAAGTTACTGTAGAATTATCTTCTTCTATGTGTATTCCAGCAATTTCGATTACAGCCCCAGTTACAGGTTTAACTCCTCTCAATGAGTGATGGGTATTTAATAAACTCAAAGCCACATTTCTTTCAACTTCTCTAATTGATGGAATATTTGGATTTAAATATTTTCTCATAATTTCCGATTGATTTTCACTGACTAAAAAAAAAAAAATTTCTCCAAGATGACTAGCAATTGTATTCTTCAATCGATTCCAAAATATTTTAAGATCTAATTTTTGTAATAAAGCTGTTGGCATAAATGACATACATGCTGGATTTCCCATTTGTTTTGATAGTGGTGTAAATTCAAAATTCGATGAGGCTGATATTATTGGTACTTTTAGTAAAAATCCAAAACCATAATAACAAGGTGCACTTAAACCCTGGGAAAAAAAATTATTAAATTAGTTTTTCGTTTATAAGAAACAAAAAGAATATAACTTACTTCTGTAATTACAGCATCGTAAGGTGAATTTTTTGGTAAATTACGAATAAAATTTTGAATTTTTTCATGTGATATTATCTTACAAATTGGAAGTCCATAAACATCATTCAATAAATTTATAAATGATTGACTGTTTGCAATTGCATCTTGAATGGAAGTAAATTTTGATTTTGAATAAAAATAACTTGAATTTGGTAATTTTGATAAATTAATAATGTCATGATAATTTTCTGGTGGATTTTTTGCCTCGTAATAGGATATAATATCAACTTGATGTCCCTTTTTTGCTAAACTTTTCATTAATGATTGAAAAAAAATATTATGGCTTTTGAATGCCAATGGAAATATACCTAGAATTTTATAGGTATGAACGTTAATTAATAAAAAGCATATTGTAATTAAGATTATGTGATAATACATCATTTTTTAAGAGATAGTTAATATTTAACGTTTTAACATTTTTTTAATTTGTTGTACTTTAATTTTAATGTATTAAAATTTTTTTTTAACAACAATAACTGATGACACTTTGCAACACGTCTAATACATTAGTCGAACAAAAGCGGAAGTCAATTTATTTTCCAATAATAGTTATTTGATATTCAGCGAGCTAATGTTAGCTTGCATAATATTATACTAATTTCCATTATGATCGTTTTTAATAATTTTAAGAATATGCAAAAATTGTTCTATTTATCAATGATAAAATTGATGAAATATTTTATTATCACATTGTTATCTAAATTAACATTTGTAATTCAGATTTCTTTTTTTTTTTTGCATTATTAGTAAATATGTCAAGGTAATAATATTTATTTATAGTTCAATTTATATTATTCTTTTTTATAGAAATGCTTACTCAATAGTTTAACAATAAATAGAAATAGAAAAAATATAATTGTTATGACAAATAATAAAAATGTATAAACATCTATTAAATCAATTTGCCACCATTGCATATCCATTGTTGGCGATCTTAATGAATTTGCACCGTTTCTTACAATATATTCCACCCAATATGTGGCAATGTCCATGGGATTTGATAATCGATCGCGAAAAATCAGTGAATTGTTTTTTGCCGCTTCTCTATAATCAAAATTAAAATTTTGCAATTTTAATTAGAAAACATTTAAAATTTTTATGTTTTTGTTTCTACCTAAATTTTGGATCATTTATTATTTTTGACAGTAATGTGTTTAGAGTATCTTCTGTAATTTTGTCAATTTCTATTTGCAAACCCATTCCTTTATCAACCACTATTTGCACATTTTGATGCTGATCATAATATATCGGTATTCCAATAACTGGGATAGCAAAATAAATTGTTTCCATAATACTGTGCAGACCTCCATGAGTAATGAACAATCGTGTATTATTGTGTTCTAAAAAAAAAAAGAAACAATATTATCAATATTCTTCAAAAGTATTTTCTAAAAAAATTAACTGAATTTTACTTAGGACAGATATTTGTGGGATCCATGTCATGCAGAGTAGATTTTTTGGTGTTTCAAATGGAAATTTAAATCCTTGGGTAACTTTCATTAAAATTCTAATTGGTGATAGTTTGGCAAATGTTGAAAAAATTGACTTAATAGTTTCTTGTGGAAGACTTTCAATTGGTATCAATGATCCAAATGATATTAATACAACTCCATCGATGCTTTCATCCATCCATTGTTTCAAGTCCTGTGGCAATGAAAAAAAATAATTATTATTTTTATTAAATGATGATAATTCGAATAATTTAATTCACGAAGTTGTTACTTGTGTCAAACTAGAATCATCTGCTATGATATGTAAACCTCCAACTTCGATAAGACCTGGAACTGTTGGTCTTAAACCTTGTATCGAATGATAAGAATTTACAATTAATAACGAGATCGTCTTTTCTACTTCCCTCACTGTTGGTATATTTGGAGCTAAATATTTTTTCATTGCTTCTGATTGATTTTCAGTGTAAGATTTAAATCTATACTCATTAATTAATGCTGTTACAGTATTTGTCACTCGATCCCAAAATGTTTCTATTTTTGATTTCCATGTTAATGCTGTTAAATGAAAAGATGTATAAAGTGGATTGCCAATGTTTCTTGCATGAATAGAAAATTCCAAAGTTGGTGTAATTGATATTATTGGTACATTTAGAAGAGTTCCAATTCCGTAAAAACAATTAGTCGATGTACCCTATAGATGTACATATATTTTTTGTTTAGTTATTTTTTGTTAAAACAGTTTTTTCTTAAATTAATGTTATAATTAAAATTGAAAATTCATTTGCTTACCTGTGTAATGAACAAATCGTACCGTGAATTATTTGATAGATTTTGAATAATATCTTGCATTTTTTTATGCGACATCAAATTACAAATGTGTAGTCCATAATCAAATTTGGCTAAGCTCATTATGTCACGATTTCGATTTAATGGTTCTTGAATAGAATTAAATTTACCTATTGCATGAGCATAACTTATGTTGGATAAATTTAAAATTGTTTGATAATTTTTTGGTGGTTTTAATTCTTGATGATAGGATATGACATCAACATGATGTCCCTTTTTAGCTAGACCTTTCATTAGAGCTTGAGAAAATATACTGTGACTTTTAAATGGCAATGGAAATAAACCTAAAATTCTGTATGCTTCAATTTTTACGACAATGAATATAATGAGCAAGTGTAAAAAATTTATGTTCATTATTATTTTGTTTTGAAAAATTTTGTTACAATTTTAACTGATATTTCCAGACAATACTAAAATGAAGAAACAATTTTTGTACTATAATACCTTTTTCGATAAGGAAAGTGGTTTCTTTTTTATTAATCTTTAAGATATTCAAATTGTTCTACTTTTAAAAGCTACAATTTTATGATAATATGTATATTGCATTTTCAAGAACTCTTATTTTTTAGACTTAAAATCTCAATGTAGTGTTTTCATTTTTCAGGTTCAATCCGGTTTGTTTAAAGATAAGGGCAAAAGTAAAAAAAAAAAGGGTATCCTATTTTGAAATACACAGGATTCTCCATATTAAAGTGAGTTTAATTTTATACTAATGTGACGATATAATACAGTTATGTGACATGATAAAAAAATTGAAAATCACAATTTAAAATTAATGGATTACTATTATTCTTTTTTTAATGACGATTTGGTGTTCATTTTCAAGCAAAGTTTTAACAGATTTTTAACAATGATTATTATTAAAATAAAGATTAATGTGATGCAAAATAATAAAAATCCATAGACATCAAGTTGATCCATTTGCCACCAATCTATGTCGGCTGCTGGTGATCGTAACGAATGTGCTCCATTTTTTATGATATACTCTATCCAATAGGTTGTTGTATCTATTGGACTCAATTGACGATCGCGAAAAATTTGTGACTGATATTTTGCTGCTTTTCTGTTTGTATTATTATTACAAAAAAAATTTTCATTAGATAAAAAGCATTTTTGGAACAGATTTTTTTTTTTAAATATTACAGGAAATTACCTGTAATTTGAGTTGCTTAATATTTCTTGAAGTGCTTTGTCTATAGTATATCCTGAGATTTCTTCATAATTTATTCGAATACACATATTTTTAGTGACAAGCATTTCAATATTTTGTATTTGATCGAAAAATAAAGGTGTTCCAATAACAGGAATGCCAAAATAGACAGCTTCCATAATACTGTGAATGCCACCATGTGAAATAAACACCCGTGTATTAGGATGTCCTGAAAAAAATTAAGTTTAAAAAATATTTTCTTGGCTGAATTTGTTTGTAGATATAATTGTATTTAAAAGTATTTTTTTTGTCTACTTAGAATAGGAATTTGTGGAATCCATGTCATGGCGATCACATTATTTGGAAGTTTAATTGGAAATTTCGAGTCTTGTTTTGTTTTTATTAACACTCTCATTGGTGCAAGTTTTGCGAAAATGGAAATAATTGAAGAAAGCACATTAATGGGAAGTGCTTCAATTGATACTAATGTACCAAATGAAAACAATACTACTCCGTGTGTACTTTCATCCATCCATTGTTTTAGATTCTTAAATGAAAGAAAAAAATTTTAAAATGCATTTCTACTGGTATTTGATAAATTTTTCTTTTTCTCTTACTGGTGTCAAACTAGATTCATCGTCCTCAATGTGTAATCCTCCAACTTCAATGAATGCTGGAATTTTCGGTCTTACACCTTGTAAAGTGTGAAAAGTATTTATAATAAATAACGATACCATTTTTTCCACTTCTCTCACTGTCGGTATATTTGGACCTAAATATTTTTTCATTGCTGGTGATTGATTATTAGTATATGCCTCATATCTATAGGCATTTATTGATGATTTTAATGTATTTTCCATTCGATCCCAAAATGTTTTTACTTCAAATTTCTTTAAATAAAGCGATGGATAAAATGCTGTTGATTTTGGATTGCCAATTATTCTTGATTCTGGTGATAATTCTAAACATGCTGAAAGAGCTACTATTGGTACATTTAGCAATGGTCCAAGACCATAGTAGCAATTCGTTGCTAGGCCCTAAAAAAAAAAAAATTGTTAACAAGAATTTTTCTACAAGATTAATTAGATATAAAGTTTCACTCACCTCTGTGATAACAATGTCGTATGATGGATTTTTAGGAGGATTTTGAAAAAATTCTTGAAATTTTTTATTTGACATTAAATTACAAACATTGAGACCATAATAATCTTTTGAAAATAATACAATATCGGCAACAATTGCAATAGGTTCTTCAATACTATTAAAATTAACTTTAGGATGATCGTAAGTGAGATTATTCAAATTAATAATTGTTTTATAATTCGTGTGTGGATTTTTATGTTCATAGTATGATATAACATCAACTTGATGTCCATTTTTTGCTAAACCATTCATAACTGACAGAAAAAAAATATTATGACTTTTGAATGCCAATGGAAATACACCTAAAATTCTATAAGCTTTAATTTTTATTAAAAAAAATAACAAGAATATTGTAATAAATTTTCTAATCCAATTCATTTTTTTATCACTTAGAATTTAGAATTCAAATTATTTTTTAAAATTATTTTATCTATTTTGTTGTATGTTTTTTTTTAAAGAATTATTTTGTTTATATTTGCCTGAAGAACAAATTAATACTGAGCGTTATTTTAACACATTACTTTTAACATAAATTTTAATAAGAAAAAGTACTATATTATTATTGAGTTACTTACATACATTAAAATTTTATAATTATCTAGTGTAGATAAGAAAACGTGTTTTTTTTCGAAGGGCAAGCATATTTAGCATATCGGATATATATTATAGAATATGAATATTAAAAATAAATTAATATACATATATATTTAAAATATGAAATTGAAATTACTAATTTATCTAAAATTTATACTGTATGATTATAAATGTAAATTCTATATTATTAATTATTATAATTTTAATATTTTTATTATTTAAAACGTATACAAACATATACTTCAAAATTATTTTGATTATAATACATATATTATTTTACATGTAATTAAATTTTTTACAAGCACTTAAATACAGTTATTACAAAAATATTTTTTTTACTTAAAAGTTTGAAAATTTACTCTCTAAATCTAAATTATGTAGTATATATTTTTTTAACTACTTTGAATTTTGCTTTTGAATTAGTAAAATTCAAAAGGAAAACGCCTGTTACTAATTCAAATTAGTTAAAAAATTGTTACTAATTCAAATTTAGAGAGAAATAAAAATAAAAGGTATATTCCCATTGTATTACAAAATTAAAAAAAAGATTATACTAATTAAAATTAATCTCTCTTTAAATCTGACTTGACGTTCCTCTTGAAGCATATTTGAAGAATTAATTTTATAATAACTTTAATTGTATAAAGAATTAATATTAGGAAAAGTAATAAAAATCCATAGACATCAAGTAATTCAACTTGCCACCAGTACATATTTACAGCAGGTGATCTTAATGATTCGGCTCCATTTCTTATAATATATTCCACCCAAAAGGATGCCGCTTTTTTTGGCTTTACCGGTCGGTCTTTAAAAATGCGTGACAAATTTTTTGCAGCTTCCCTGTAATTTAATCATTGTTTTTTTAGTATTTAAATTTTTGTCTTTTAATAATTTACAATCTGAATCGATGTTTTTCAAATTGATAATAATTTTGTAGTTTAAAAAGAATTTACCTATACATTGGATTGTATAGAATTTCATTCAGTGCCTTGTCCATGACTTTTTCACTAATTTCTTCATGATTAACGTGGTATGCCATTTTTTTAGTTATTAATATATCTATATTTGCATCTTGATCATAAACGTATGGTACACCAATTACAGGAACACCGTAGTATATAGCTTCTTGTATACTATGCACACCACCATGTGTTATAAATGCACGTGTATTATTGTGTCCTATAATAAAAAATTTTATTTCTCGTAAAAATTATTACTCCTCAAAAGCTTTAAAAAAAACTTATATGATATTTGCAAATAATTAAAAAGAAGGAAAATTACTCAGTAGTGGTATCTGTGGTACCCATTCCATTGTTTTAACATTCTTTGGAAGTCCAGGTGGAAATTTTTTTCCCTTTTTCGCTTTCAATATCACTCGAATTGGTGCAATTTTTGAAAATGATGCATAAAGTGCAACAAGTTTTTCTTTTGACAACGATTCCAAAAATACGATTGATCCAAAGGACATATAAATCACACCAGCTTTACTCTCATCCATCCATTGCTGTAGGTTCTAAAAATCAATTTACTTTTTATATACAATTTTCAGTTTTCAAAATCCACTGAAGGGAGATTTATATAACTTACTTTTGACATGGAAGAATCGTCTTCTTCAATATGTAAACCTCCCACTTCAATGAAAGCCGGTGTCAAAGGTCTAATTCCTTGAACAGTGAAATGAGTATTCACTATACTCAATGCTACTGTTCTTTCAATTTCTCTAACTGTTGGCATGTCAGGACTCAAAATTTCTCGCATCAATTTTGTTTGTGGTTCATCGGTATAGAAGAAAAATTTATACATAAGTAAATTACTCGTGACTGTATTTTGCAAACGATCCGTAAATGTTTCTACTTTTGCTTTTGGCATTAGAAAATTTGGAAAGAAAGCTGTCGATAATGGATTACCAATTTGTCTACTAATCCATGGAAATTCTAAACTAGGCGTAGCAGTTATTGTTGGTATATTCCAAAGATATCCAATACCGTAAAAACAACTCAGTGCCCAACCCTGAAAACATATTTTTTTTGAATTTTGATTCAGAAAGCTTTTTTTTAATATACAATACCTCCACAATAACAGCATCGTAAGGTGGATCATTTGGTGGATTCATAATAATATCTTTTATTTTTGGATAATCCATAAGTTTACACAAATTAGTTCCATAATCTACGCTGAGAATTTTTATTGCATCTTCAAAAATTAGTAGACAATCGTCAAGATTTTCAAATACATTTGGTGGAAATGGAAAATCCACTTCGGACAAATTGACAATTGTCGTTAAATTATCCACTGGTTTTGGAAATTCATAATGAGAAATAACATCAACTTGATGTCCACTTTTTGCTAAAACTTTCATTAATGCTTGAAAAAATATATTATGACTTCTAAATGCAATGGGAAAAATACCCAAAATTCGATATGCATTTACTTCCACTGCTAAAAATAAGATTAATAATATTATTAAATTTCTTAAAAAATGCATTTTTTTTCCACTTCACTTTGTGTATTATTAAGGTTGAAACGTGTCACATTAACTGTCCATTCAAATACGTGTTAAATTTTAATACATCGTATATATTAAGATATGAAATATATGAAAATTATCAATGCAAAAACTGGTAAATACATATTCATTGTAGGCTTTTATTTTTAGATTATAGAAGTGCCTTTTTACGCATATATTTCTTTAGAACTATTAATTTTTTCGCTCTTCTATTTAATTATATTATTTTTGGAGAGTTAATATTTTTGTAGAGAGACAAACCCAATAGGAAATGAGATGTCTTTATATAAAATTGAATTGTCACGATTTAATTCGTAAAATCCTGTTGTTTCCCTAATATCCATGACGTTTCCGTTTCCGGAGAGGACGTGCGTATACAATGTGGCGTGTGTGTGTATCTATTTGAATCGTAGATTTTGCGAGCGTGACTGGCTTCTTTATTACGAGGAAGCGTAGTGAATGATAAAAATGACGAAAATCAAATCATTTCCGGATGCATTCGCCCTCGCACTTTATCTCAATAGTATTATATTATACATATATTTCATCATAGTATTGAACGTGCATCAACTATATATACTCGATTGTAATTGACGTGTCTTGTGAATGCGCTCATTCTGCTGAATACGATTCACATATTAAAAGCACGCCTGCCGTCCGTCAGTTTTCGAAACGATTCTCCTCTATTCTATATATCTATACTGAAGCGTGCGCGCGCGCTAAATTTGCAAGGCGATTTCGGAAACTCCCGGTAACTATATATGTGAATATCCCACCAATTCAACATGGTTAAACGAACCATGAATGACAAATCAACAGCGAATCAGAATACAAAATTTATACGAACAAATATTGTAAATGGAGTTTAACATTTATAAACGATTGGTTTTTTTCTCACTTGTATTCTGATGAGCATATATTTTTTGTGGTATGAATTTAAATCATTTTCTATTAGAATTAGATAATAAATTTTGTATTTATTTCAATTTACAGGAGGTCTTGTCCCACTGATCAGAATTTGCTACAGATTGCTGCATATTAATATAGAAGATATCCTGGACGTTTTTCAAAGGAAGGATGTTACAATGGGCTACAACTCAGATGACAACTATCGTAAGTAAAGTTTATAGAAAAGATTTTTATAGTAGATGATGACAAAAATGGTTCATACTAGATGATGAATATATGAAATTAGCCCTTGAAGATACTGCTAAATATTAAAGTATCAAGTAATAAAATTATAGGTCTTTTATTTTATATTACGAAATAGTGGTAGAACAGGTCTTTAAATAGTTCTTATTAATCTCTAAATGGAAAATGTAGATAGATTTCAAATTTAGCTTTTCTAAACAGATTATTAATTTGAATGGGTTTGCTGCTTGTTAACCTATAGGGGGGTAACTCATGACTGCGAAATGACTATGGATCACAATTTCTGCAGCACTAGAACAGTATATAGTTTATGGCTTCAATGCCTATAGTCCAACACGAATTTGAAGCAGTAGTGGTAGTTGCTGAAGCTGACGGTTGGAACCTAGTTGGAATTGGCCGCGAGCCTAACTCGATGCCGAATTAATTAATTCGAAATACCGTGAACCGGAAAGCCGAGATTAGTCCGCGTTTGCTAGTGCTTTCATGTAACGATATAGAGCTTGTGCAGCAACGTTAGGATATTAAGCGCGCCGCACTTGACCATGACGATATCGTTCTAACTTTAATAGCTCGTATCATTCTATACGCAGCAAGCGATCCTGCATTTCTGTGATTGTCGTTCCCAGAGAGTGGGAAATGTTCTAGACCTATTATTACCAATCGCAAATCCCATATCGATTATTTCCAAATGTCCATCTTTCGAATGACGTGCAATTTTCATTATTCCATTTCCGGCATTGTTTGACTTTTGCTTTATCATTCTATCTTAAAAATGAAAATGAATACACTTTTAAGTGGAATTTTTATTTTTCTATTTGGATTATTAGAGATAAATAGAATCGAATTTTGAGAGTATTATTTTTCGTAAAAGTGCAATAGTAAAATGGATTAAGGTGACAATAGAGAGAAAGAGGTATATAGATCTAAATGTCTCGTGTTTTCTCACGAGAACGTAAAGAAAAGTCTATGGAACCAGTGGCTCACCGGGCAACAACAATAACGTAATCCCCCGTAAAATGAGAGCTGTAACGGGATCACGGGCGTGAAATCCTAATAAATGAGCAGTTACCCATTGCCGTATACGACCCCGACCAATGCAACAATACACAATCCCTCGACACACGATATATATATACCTTATCTGTCGAGCGCATCTGAACGCATTTAACGAAAAACGCATTTGTAATCGCGCGATGCGTGCAATATCGAAGATAGCGAATACGCGTGCCATGTATATGAGTGCATTGGCTTATTATTAGCAGGCGACAAATCCCCCCACTGTCCCTCTCTTACTCTATTTATCTATCTCTTTCTTTCTGTCTCTGACACCAAAAAAAAAAAAAAAAAAAAAACCAATAACCCCTCTGACTTCCCACGGAGAAGCGATTCATTTTGTATAGGGGATGCGAGTCGACAGAAAAAATTCTAATGTCGAGAGGGTGGAACTATGATCACACCATAGCGCGAGTCAGAAATGCGGTTTCGCGAATTCAAAGACTTTCAACGGCTGTGATTTATTGTTTAAGGTGCAATAAATTTTGTGTCATCTTAATGTCCATCTGCATAAACAAAATACTACTGTCACTAAAAGATTCCATTTTCTATGTTATTATGAGTACGTCATTTTTATATTTTCAAAATTTACGATTTGTATTTTTCTGCAATCTGCTCTAAAAAATATCGTTTGCCATTTTTAATTTTAAATATATAAGCATAGATTTGTGATCATGAACCTTGCAAAAATCTTCTAGTGATTTTTGTCCATTAGAAAATATTTTATCAATTTTTCTAGAGGTAATTTAGTTTTTATTTATCGATTTTAATTTGATCGTTATTTTTTACTAAGACTTTTTAATTAATTAATTAGGCATAGGTTTATTAATTAACAAAATTATATTTTTCAAAAATTAAAAATTATTTTTTTGCTTATGTTTAAATTTTTTTTTTAATTTTTGTTTATTTGTATTATTCAATTTCATTCAATTATTCATTATAAATTTATATATATCTATTATATTTTAATCCATTATCCATTGAATTAAAATTTAAAGAGAAAAATAAATACAAGGAAAAGACCTTCTTCTTTCGCATGGCAGTAATTGATGGCTCAGTATTTCATTACTTTTTACTGTTGAAAAATAATAGGTTTCAGTTACAATTAAAATGAGAATTGAATAAGAAAACTTTTATTATTGACATCTTAATTGATCAGATTGTTTCTTTATTATGTCCCTCTTAATATTCTTTTTAATATTTCATTATTATTTTAATTGTATTTTTTTTAATACTTTTAATGATATTTATGTAATTAATTTTATTTTTCAGAATTTCGATTGTAGAATAAGGAGAAAGTCATCATGGAGAACCACAAAATTACAGCATTCTTGCACAGGATTACGTATTTCTTCAAGACTTCCGTGAAAACCTGATAGGAGTCATAATCCAATGATGTTTTCTGATGGTGAGTCTTTTTTTTAATATGTTACAAATTAATGGATTAATTATTTCGTACACTATTTATTCGATATAATAGTTAAATAATCAAATATTTGAGTCAAATATAGCATTAAAAAAAGCTATTAAAAAAAATTAATAGATTTTTATAGATTATAGAATAGGTAGATAGTATAGTGAGGTTAATTATTAGTTTTTTTTTTACTTATATTCTTAAAATAATTACCTGAATTCTTTTCGGATTGGTTAGAACATTTTGTAAGGGTTCTTTTGAAAGAATAAATCTGACATTGCCTTGAGTAAGATGCAGTGGAATTGGTTGAAATTTTTCTTTACTTTTTTCAACAATTATTGATTTTTTGTCTGCACACGTTGTAGGATTTGACACTGTCGAACAAAGATTTTTTCCCACTCCTTTTTTTGAATGTGCACTGTCTGCGAAAAAAAAATCTATTTAAGTTTCGATATAATTAGGAGGTTAAATCTTCAAAATTAGATACTCTTTTTATTTTAATTTTATTGATATTCGACTATTAAGTAAATATTCTTTTAATTTATAACTTACAATTACTTATGGAGCAAAGTTCAGGCATTTTATCATTTTCCAAGATTAAAATCTTCTCTTTCAAATTGTGAGTTTCTTCAAAGCTTTTCATAACCATTTTTTATGATAAATTTGAAAATGTAAAATTTGAAGTACTAGAAAAATGTGATGTGGTTTTTTTTTAGCCAAAATTGAAATTTTGATTCAAAAATTATATTTAATTATAAAATTTTGATTCGAAAGTATTTCAAAAATTTTTATTTTTGACAGTTTGATAGTTTTTTTTTTTTTTTTTTGTCTCTATTGACTGTTTTTCTTTCTTTGTAACGTCAAAGAGAAAGAGAGATGACAAATGACAATAGAATATCATCAAAGGGGGATTTTTGTCGAATATATACAAAATGTTTATTTTCGAAATAGAGTTTTACGCATGTAATCGTTTTCTCTCTCTCTCTTTATATATATATATATATATATTTGCTTTTTAAAAGAAGATAAATAGTGTGTATTACCATTTTCTAAAAAGAAGAGAAAAAAATGAGAGATAAGAAAACTAATTTACCGAAAAAAAATGAGGGGACATTTTTAACGATTTGGTATCCTTGGTGAATTATGGGATTGAAGCATATAAAAAAAAATATATATATAAAAGCCCCTGAGAACCCTTCTGGAGAGCAGCTTTCTTCAGGTTGGCAATCCTTTGCAGTTAACGCCCCTAATCGTATTCATTAAAGTGCTCTCAATGCTTTTACACGGTTCTCTCAAAACCCCCCTTCCCCTCTCCACTCACCCCTTTCCCACCCCTTGCGCCCTTGAGTGGTATTCCTTCGTTCGTTCGTTCAAGAGAGAGAGAGAGAGAGAGAGCTTTTAAGTTGGCAACAATGCGCGGATTTATAAACCCCACGGCATTGTTATCACGAGTGATTGAGGCCGTCGTTTCGACACTGGCCGAATACCAACCATTGGTTACTCCATTGTGGACTCCTTTATCTTGGAAATTCGCCTCGGACTTGCTAAATGACTCGGTTTTATTGATGGACTGTTAGAAACGCGCGCGGGAAAATTCTGTATATATATCGAATCCGATAAACGAGACTTTGTGAACGTTTCATTGCGTCTTTTTATTAAAATAGAATATATAAATTCACGCAATAATAAATCTTTATTTGAGATCTCATTATATATATATATATATATATATATATATATATATATATATATATATATATGTATCTGTTGATTATTTACTGTAAAAAAATATTTTTCGTTTGAAAGGATTCCTTTTGATTTTAATCCACATTTTATTCTTCAATATTAAAAATATTCCCTTTCGATTGAAAAGTATTGTCCCATTAAAATACTCTCTAATTCTAAATAAGTAAAAAATTTAACTAATTTGAATTAATAACTGCTGCAGTTAACTATGAGATATTAAAAAGCGCGTTAATTCTTTGATTTAAATAAGCTTTTTTCACTAAAGCTATTTTTTATTTTATCTTCTTTTTTATTTCCTCTTTATGCAGTGACCGTTATTCATAATAAAAGACAAATTTATTTTTTGTGAGAAATAATTTCAAATTTAAATAAAAAATTATATTTACTTTCTTCACTTGTTTTTTCAAAAAACTTTTACCCCGTGCATCTGTATAAATTCTTGTAAAGTTGTTTGAATTTTAATTTACAATATAGCTTATATTCCCACGCGAGAAAAGTGTGTGTAAATTGAGCTTTTATTTGAATTTTTCAAGGAAAATTTAAAATTTCTTATTTATAAATTGAGTTTTATTTAATTATTTGATTTTATTTAGCAGAATAAATTTTTCAGAATCAGAATGAATCAGAAAGAAAAATTATATCAAATCTTGTTTATGAAATATAATAATACTAATATATAAATGAAACCAAATGTAATTTAATAATCCAATTATTGTAATAAACCGTTGTCCATTATGTCATAAATTGTGGATTCTGTGTGGATTATGAAAACAGTTTAGAAAATGAACTCGATCGTTAACAAGAACGTGATTATACTCGGTGTGGCTAAAATGAGATTTATATGTGGTTTATGGAGCAGACATGTATATCGATGTAAACGCAAAAGCGTAACGACCGCTATGCGTGTCGCCATGCGTGGAAATTAAATTAATTCCAAAATGCCTACTACCCCTACGAAGGTGTATACGCATCAGTGACACCGGGCATCAGTAACAATGGGAGAGAGTATGCATCCCGGTTTTTCTATATATACATATACCCCTCTCAGTTCCCTGGCTGACTTTCCCATGACGTGCCTATAATCAGATCATCCCTCTCTTATATATGTACATATATACATTCGATGCTCCGTTACCGTCCATTCGCTCTTTATTGGCTAAACAGTAGGGTAGCAAGGCCATTTTTAGCCACAAAAATTCTTTTCGCACTATTTCCACTTTGAACAAAATTCTATTATCAAGAAATCCTTTTTAAAACTCTTCATTAAAATTTCATGATTAGATAATACTTTTTGTTTTATATTTATATTTTATCATTGATTCACGTATCTGGAATTGAAATATATATTTTCCGCTGAGATTAATGTATTAAATTGATAGAAGCGGGAGAGTTGAATTCAAAATTAATGTGATCTGTTTTTGAAATGTGATTAAAATCAATTCGTTAGTTGTATTAGAAATTAGGAACTGAGGCGTATAACTAAAAGTGGAGAAACTTGAAGTGGAAAGTCATAGTTTACTGTACTACTATCATCGTTTGTTTCTCGCTGACACGTTTAAATTTCAAAACTTTGGGTTTATGTTTCTGGCACGTGCAGTTTAGAGGTCGGGGAGATTTCGAGATATGTTGGGTATCGTGAACCCACCCTCGGGCATTGAGTGCGTGTTTGTCGTTTCGACCCCCCCTGAACGATACTACTCTGCTACCAGTGTCACTGTATTCTCAATGTTATACCCTCTCTCACTACAAAACCCATCCCACACCAAATGTGTGTGTGTGTGTGTGTGCGGCTTTTCATTCATCTAATCCATAATTATGCTACTGACACAGACACTCATCCTCCTTTAAATTCCCCAAAAATCTCTCATAATTAATTATCCATATTTCATCTATGGGAAAGGGCACATTATCCCTATAATCTCTGTTCTATATAACAAAATTTTAAAATTAGCACGTGCCAGGTCGAGTGAAAATTTTACAAACGGCTCTAAAAATTGGATAATGTTTTTTTATCTTAAAAAAAATAGTACGTATAAAAACAATTCATCTGAATTTGATATATAAATTATAAAATCTTTATTTAATATCCAATCTGATGTATAAGATCATGATGAAAGAATTGGGGTTTAAAAAAAATATCTTGAAGCTCCATATATACTATACATTTTCTAAGAATAGAACTTAACAGACTGATATCCTAAATCTTTTATTGCATGATAAAGAGAAGAAGAGCACGAAACCAATTGTAATTTTCACTCCATTTCCTGTTTCCTTTTTTGCTGCTTGATATAATCTTTAGATCATCCAATTTCATTTTGATCGATTAATTACTTACAAAAGAAATTTCATTTTAGCTATATATACACTGAAATTCGTATAATTAACCAAGTTAATCATTTCGACTCTCGGGAAATTTTAATTAAAATGTATCTTTAACAATCGATCTTGAATTATTTTCGCTAGTTAAATTTTCAGCCACTTTTGAAACTATTTTCTCCATTATTTTATTATTTATTGTAACTATTTAAAAATAAATTCTTATTAGTCGTTATAAAAGGTCAAGTAAAAACTAATGGAAAATTTATTATATTTTGACAAGCTTAAAGTTCTTTCATTTACACAAAGAGGCAAGCAAGTAAGTGAGCGAGGTTTTTTTTTTTTTTTTTTGCACAATATGTTGTGGGACCATTACTTAGTCGTGAGTGGGGGGGAAGCAGCAAACTCTGAGAGTTGCTTGAGGGGGTGGCTCTTACCTAAATAACCACTCAGTCACTCGCCGCCCGCTCCAGAAGGGGTGGGTGCTTCGATACTATTACGTGATGTAAGAGCACCCAGAAACCACCCTCAGATTAACGATGCCATTCTCAGATTGATTTCTCGAGAAAATTCTATCTTCTACTTCCTGCTTTGCTACTTTCTCCCCTCTTTCCCCCCCTTTTTCTATCCGATGAGGTGCTTTGCACTTCTTAACTTCATTTCCGAAAATGCAACACGTCCATTTCAATAGCAATCTTACAGTCAATTCGCAAAGTTGTTTATCGCAAAAATTGGTTACTCATGATATTTTACTGTAACAAATAAAATTATTTATATTATTATAGTAATAATAAATATTTATAATAAAAAAAATAGTTAAAAAGAATAAAGTAGAATTTTTTCAAAATTTATTATATATATCTGTGGATATAAGAAAGTTATATACAGACAACTTGAGCAATAAATGTAATGAAGCATTAAATTATTCTCATCATTGGTGGAAGGAAAATGGAATAGTTCCTATACAAAAAGTTGGAACACGTTTTCTTAGTGATCTCATATTTCTCTGCCATATATATAATATCCCTTTGGCACACAGTCCGAAATCAAATCTGAAATGTAATGGTGTGGACAGTCTTATCTGCGGTCACCATAGAATTTTCACCGAATACATTACATACATCGTTTAGATGATTGGCACAGATTAGACAATGTGTGAGCCTTGCCACGGATTTTCGATAAGACCATTTCTTTTCCTCCTTCAAATCAGTCCCCCATTCTCATATGATTTTCTCACATTTTTTTAAAGACGAAAATAATTCGAAATTATAGATTTAATTAGTTTATTAAAAAATTTAGCTAATTTCTCGCTCTATTTTTTCAGTAAATTAAATATAATTGGAGTTTCTCGTTAAGATATATATTGAACCCTAACTATATCCTTTAAATGCTGATCCAATAATATATATAATGAAACGAAATTGAATTCGTTTTACTTCATCAACAGCCTCTCTCTATTTCTTTGTTGTTATGAGGTCTTTTGAGAGAAGCGCATATAAGATGGTTTCGTATAGGGTGGTAGATTCGTTCCCTGAAAGGAAACATTCGTCGAATGTGGTGGCTCTCTCTCCTGATTGTCGAGGGTAGAAATCTCTGGCTTGGCATTTCTCTCTCTCTCTCTCTTGAGGTGCACATACAGAAACAAACAGAACGGTAGGCGAGGCACGTAATGGCGTGTCGGAGTTAACCAGTTGATAACCATCAGTTATAATTAACTCAGGCCAACCAGCGAACAAGCCAACCCTGGTAACTATACTCTTCCCTCTCTCACTCTCC